CCCCAGATGATAGTTTGTGGCCCTCGCCTTGCCTGCCCCCCCAAAGCGCCCACACATCCTCTGCTGTCAAGAGTAAAAAAAAGCCTTGCCTCGCTCACCGGCTCTCTCCCAAGACAGCACCTCTTGCACCCTCCATCCAGAACTGCAGCCTGCCAGCCAGCCCACCAGTCTGTCGGCTAAGGAAACTCCTGGGCGGCTTCCTTGGGCTCTTGCTCTGCTTGGCGGAAAATCTGATGCGGCCCAGCCTCACCCAGACTCTGCCTCTAGCGGCCCCCAGGTAAATTGAATTTAAAACCCCTGATCTGAGGAGAGTTGGTAGGACACCCTTGATACATCCTCTACATTGGTTTCACTTCCCCCCGGTCTGAATAGGCTCATTAGATGGACGAAAGATGGGGGGTGAGTGAAAATTCCACTTCTGCAGTCCTTCTCGACCCATTGTCATGGGTTATTAACAGTGGTCTTTCTGGCAGGTGCAGTCCTGATCTTTCTGGGGATGGATGAAAGGGCAGCATGACAAATAGGTGGCAGATTGTGTCTAAGGCCACCACCCCTATTGATTGAGGGATTTTCTATATGTACATGTATGGCCTTTCAGACCCCTCTCTCTTCTCAGTGCAAAATGAGTACATTCTGGTCATCAAATGAATGTCCTTTGCCCTTCAAATGAAGGAACACTGCAGATTGTGATCCTGAGCCATTGCCCCTTCTATGCTGAGCCATTCTCCTGTTTAATGGCTATTTAGTTTCTCCAATGTAGTGCTCCGACTGCTCCTCTTTGCATTGGACTGTATATATTGCTCCTGTTGCATTTTGGTGTCTGATCTTTCCGGTGGATGAGTCTCTGTCTTAGTATGTCTGTAGGTTTGAGGTGCACGGGTATGTGGTGTTTACCAAAAATCCTTTTGAGCTTTTCAGATACACCCGCCATGTAAGGAATGACCAGGTTCTTCTGTTGGCTCTGGGTCTCAGACTGTTCCATCCTGTTCGGTCAGGACATTGCCGTGTGTTCAAAGGAGTGCTCAATTTTGTGTGTGTTCTATAATAGCAATGTTTCTGTTTTTTTAAACAAATGCACTATATTTGTTTTAAAAGTATTTGAATAAAGTTTTTAAGGGTGACATTTTGATGAAGTTAAAGAAAGACATGTGCATAAAAGTATATATACAAAACATCCTTGTGCTCCAGCCACCCTGTAAATGGCTTATAGCAGTTTTGTGCCATAGGGTTACACATGTGTAATGTGTATCCCAAGATTAGGATGGGGAACTTTTGGCCCTAATGGCACAGGGAACTCTTAAACTAATTTCATGTCAGCTTGGTGCAACTTCAGAAGGACTCTTAAAGCAATCAGTTTTGGCAAGAGCAAACTCACTCTTCTGGCAGTGCACTCAGGGAAGGAGAGAGAAAGGTATCAGAATATGGAATAGAAAAGGTTAATTTTCTGGTTTCACCTGAGATCAGAACCAGCCACTGGAGAACCTTCAAGATTTGCCCCTGACCTTGGCCATTTTACTACAGAGGAAGAACAGCTGAGTGGCAAGTGAGTAGGTAATGCCAAAAAGAGGGGCTACATGGATATTAGGGCTCCTCATCTATTACAGCGAATGGGGAAGGGAGAATCATACCTGATTCCCCTGCCCCTTATGGATCAGCATAGCTTTGGAAAGGGAAGAGTCCTCTCCACATGCGCAAAACGTAAACTGGGCCAGGCTAGATTACTAGTCACGTGTTCACATTCAACATGCTGCTTCCCCTTCTACAGAAGGACACAGAAACCAGGGACATGTGCTAATGCTAAACTGTCACCAGTTATACCATTACCGGAATTTGGACTGCAACTGTCTGCACCCCAGCCTAGTGTCAAAGCACCCTGGGCCTGCGGGGGGGGCAGTCCAGGAATACCCTCTTCCCCTCTAGTAGCCGGAGGGGGTCTGGTGACGTTGCGACGAGAGTTGTGCACGGCGTTAAACATGCATCAAATAAGGAGGTGCTCGGGACTGCACGTGTGATTTAGACGGAATGTGATAGCCTTGCTGTGAAACTTAGGAGCTTTGTGGGGCCTCTGACCCGAAACAGATTTCCTTAAGAGAAGTTTTTTTAAAACACGAGCCAGTAGGAATCATGAATGAAAAATCTACATTTCCCCTTCCCAGGCTATTCAATTGCTAGTATCAACTACAGAGTTAGACCCACTGGATCAGTTCTTGCATGAGACGGCAACCCGCCTGTAAATCCCAGGGAGTCGATGGGTCTACTTTCGCAGGGGCTGCCACTAGGATACTAGTCCCCGTCCGGGCCCAGGCACTGACTCCAGTGGCCCCATTCTCCCACCCCCACCCCCGTCTGTTATTTTTCTCCAACTCACCTCCCCTTTTCTCCTCTCCGCCGGAGAGAAAGCAGGCTCTTCCGCTGGGCTGCCCGTCCGGCGCCTGACGCGCTCGGGGAACGTCTGCCCATCAAACCAAGCCGATTCCGGGCAAGCGGCCCTCGCAGTCCCCGAGGTGGAAACAGCCTCGCTCCTTCCCGCAGAGCCGCCTCGGAGCTCCGAGCGATCCGCCAGCTACTTCCGGATTCAGGCGCCGGGGTGGGCGGCAAAGTCTCCGGGGCCTTGCGAAGAGGCCCGGCAGTCTGTTTACAACATGGCAGCGGCCAGGCGGGCTCAGGTGTTGCGGCTCTATCGTGCCCTGTTGCGGGAGAGCCAGGGCTTCGCTGCTTACGGGTACAGGTAAGAAGCAGGCGCCGCTTTGGTTCTGAAAGCGGCTTCCGCGATCCCTCCTTGAGTTTGTTTTTTGCGCAGTTTACAGCTAAGTTCAATAAATGGACTTCTCTTTTTGCTGCTCTTCTATTGCGATCGGATCTATTCTAAACCTAAATTGAAACGAGGAGGCTGACTCTTGACTTTTTAGGGTTCCCATCCAGGTAAGGATTCATTTCGAACGGGGAAAAAAATTGAATGTTACAATAGCGGTCTGTGTCTATCAGTGGAATTGATAGATTGTAGAGAATCTATTACACAATGTAAAACGTCTTGATTCTTCTGTTAGTAGGAATTGTTCGTGGTGTGTTTAGATCTGTTTCCGTGACCTTGTTTGACTCTTCAAAAATAATAAACATGTAGCCTGATCGGCATCTTAGAAAAGCAGGGTGGAAACCTTTACATTCAAACACATTTAAAGCTTTATGTATAAATAATTTTATTGGAATATTTGTAACAATGTAAAGAAAATACCATATTCTTTCCTTATATTCAACAAAAAATAGCTACACCTGAAAGAACACTGTTAGTTTTTTAGGATGCATACTTGAAGACAGCTGTACCTGATATATCTTATATCAACTGTTTATTATATATTTTATTAAATTATTTATATGCCACCTTTCTCCCCATAGAGGACTCAAGGTGGCATACAACGGATAAAACAACATATTTAAAAGCATTACATAAATATCACATTTTTAAAAAACCAATTAAGCCTATATTAAGATTAAAATCAAATTTAAAATCAATTCAAAAACATTTAAAAAACCTGTTAAACTAAAAACCAGCATTCCTGAGATAACTTACTGCTTAAAAGCCTGCCTGAGCAGGAAGGTCTTTTCCTCAGAGCAAGATGTTAAACTAAAAACCAGCATTCCTGAGATAACTTACTGCTTAAAAGCCTGCCTGAGCAGGAAGGTCTTTACCTCAGAGCAAGAAGGCCACTCCCTTCACGGATTGCTGGTAGGAAAAAAAACAATGGCCTAGTCAGGTATAATCTAGCTAAATCCCCTATGAATACACAGTGGAAGTGAGGAACAGATTTAAGGAACTAGATTTAGTGGACAGAGTACCTGAAGAACTATGGATGGAGGCTCATAACATTGTACAGGAGGCCGCAACAAAAACCATCCCAAAGAAAAGCAAATGCAGGAAAGCAAGGTGGCTGTCCAGCGAGGCCTTACAAATAGCAGAGAAGAGAAGGGAAACAAAATGCAAGGGAGAGAGGGAAAGTTAGAGAAAATTGAATGCAGACTTCCAAAGAATAGCAAGGAGTGACAAGAGGGCCTTCTTAAATGAACAGTGCAAAGAAATAGAGGAAAATAATAGAAAGTGAAAAACCAGAGATCTGTTAAAAAAATTGGAGATATTAAAGGAACATTTTGTGCAAAGATGGACATGATAAAGGACAAAAATGGTGGGGACCTAACAGAAGCAGAAGACATCAAGAAGAGGT